CGCCCATAGGCCAAGGCACGTTCCCGTTTACATGTGATTCACGGTTTTCCTCTCAAACTAACACGTAAAATACGTCCCTGTGTTCCAAAACTGCTACAACCGAGGCTCCAAGCACAGAAAACAGGACCTGTTTTAGAACTTTACCCGAGGGCAGTCGATTGACAGTTCAGGGATTTCCGAATTCGTAAAAGTATGCTCCAACTACTCGATCAGTTCAAGGCAGGTACAGCTGTCTGCCCAGACAGTTCGACTTAGACCCCGAAAAACAATGGTTCTTTCCACCAGCTAAATAAATAACCAGATGGCTACAACGGCAAAACTGTCAGACTTACTGACGACCGCCAATGAGCGAGCCTCAAAGGCGCTGGCAACTGAATTCTGTACCAGATAATTTGGCAACCAATTCGAAGAATTTCTACGCTGAAAAACGTTGTTGCAAATGTAAGTGAGACGCTCTACTGACAATATGATCAACGTGGAGGTCTGGCAACAGAGATTATAGCGAATAATCAACTTTTACCGCTAATTCAATTCACCCTCGGGGGCAGTTAAGTTTTTACATCTCTCCTTCTCCAGCCCGTGCAGTCTCATGTGACCCTATCTTATGGGGCGAAATCATTGAAGCAAACTGCGATTGCACAACAAGAGGCGTTAGAAGAGAGTGGCACGTCTGCGAATATATACGTTGGCGCCATGGCCCAAATGAGCTCGCTTCTGACAATTGGGGTTTAGCAAGACTTACGCGTCTTATAGTTCCATGACATCGACATCATATCTAAGTGAAGATGGCGTCGTGTCATTAAAGCGAGATTAGGGCGTGTCTTATCAGCCACTACGCCCACAACCACAACCTGCCACCTTGTTTTCGAATCCTGTGTGACAACTTTTCAAGTCACCTTTCAGGAAGTCCACTTCCTATAGTCGGCTAGTGCAGCAGGCCGCACCTTTTGGCCAAATTAGACTAATCTGAAGACATCATTGGGTTAGTGTTGAGCTATAATGGGCTTGGTGAATGTTCTTTTGAGGGTTTACGAGGTGGCCAAATCTGCCGGCTTAGTCATAAACGCTGTGGGAAAACAAGGTGGTTTCGGGCTTTCTTGTTGACGAGGAAAAACAGCCCCCCCCCAAAAAAAAAGAAGTATCTATCAGCTTTAATATGCGGAAAATTTTAAACAGCTAAGAGTGTAGTTTACGCCAAATGAACGGAGTGCTGACGATATTGTCCTCAGAGTCGATGCTATTCACCGGATCTTCAGTTTTTGACGTCGATGGGCCCGATGTGATGTCTACATTGTCACGAAGCCTCGTATGCCGAAAATCTTACGGGCTCAGGTCAGGGATGTTTTACAAAAACCGTGTGAAAAGCGTCTTCCAGGTGAAATACACCAGTTTTCTTTCGATATACTCAGTCCACAAAACGCAGAAACATCGTAACGGCACTTCGAACCACAAAGGAAAGACAATTGAGGTACTATGGGCGCATTTTTCGTCCCATTTCTGTAGGTTTGGCATTACCGCCCTGAATTTTCACCTGGCTGCGGCTAAGCCTAAGTCCAATCAAAGCCTGATTTAACACAACTCGAAATGACATGAGGATGGTTCTTAGACTATCGGCACTTAAGTAGGGCTGGTTGGACTTTTCAGATACGTGGCCTCAGATAACCGCATGTAGTGTACAAACAGCGATATCATGGAGGTCGGCTAGGTCAGGCATGGTCATAGCCAGGTCACGTAAATAAAATTAAATGCCGGGCGGACGTCTATTATAATAGCAATGAAGATTCTTCGTCCATGAAATCCTTAAATCACCTGAAATTCGCTTGCCCAATGCGCCTACTAACATAACAAGCAGTTCGCAGTCATGTACGGGTTGAAAACCCGGGTCAACGATTTCCAACGACTTCAAATGGTGTGTACGTGTGCGTGTACATACATCCTTTCGTTCAGGAAGCAGTACGTAATCCGGCGTTGGAATGCAACCTGCGTTTCTGTGTACTGCAAATTGAGACAATAGAAACCAATAAAAAAAGTTCGTAAACTGTTGCACATTTGGACTATAGGTGGGCATAAACTAGCACAGCCGTTGGCGGCAAGTCGCTGCTAAAATTGCTCAAAACATATCGGTAAAACTGAATACGGCAAAGGTGGAAACCAAACCAACTGCCACCCGGTAGCAGTACACCGGTAGAAAGTTGGCGGGCGCATATTTTTTCTTTGCAGTACAATAAATTCACCAGAAGTCTTTTTAAACCGCTAACCATTCGACGCAGAACGTGGTCGAAGGAGACGCGCAGGCAATTGCCGTGAGATGAAACACC